GATGCCCTTTGCAGTTGGTACATCATCGCCTTTGAAGAAAAAAAGTTTGTACATTGTTGCCTTCATTCAAGTTCCCTTTGGTTTTGAAGGATAGCAGAACGTGTCTTCATTTTTTTAAAGGATGGAATATCACAAAGATATTCCAGCTAGCTAAATTAAAATAAACTAGTTGTTACAAATATAGTACACACTCTCAACCAAGAGTATGCACTAAAGTTCAGAACAAAAGACTACAAAACAATTGCAACAACACCCTTGTATCTACCACCGGATACAAACTCTTAAAAATAGTAAAAATGTTATCAGCTAATACTACATATACCCCACAATAATAATAAAACTGTAAGACTAAAGATGTTTTTCCTCCAATCAAACACAAAGCACATAAAACTCTATGTAAAATCTTCATTCTAATTGAATCACATTGACCACAAAAGTCCTGTTCTCGGCTTCAGTAACTTCAGCAATTTGACTCCTTACGATAGCTCTCTTTCTTCTTGTTTGCTGTAATCTAGTAGCTCGAGCAAATATCACTTTAGAACCTAAGCAAAATATTTTATTCAAAAGGGTAAGAGATCTCTTTTGCTTTTTAGAGAATAATATGTCATTGCGTTCCTGCCATACACACCAAATAAGAAAGCAATTGAAAACATTATTCTTCAGTTTAGAATCCCCATCATTACTAATGCTCCAATTTAACCATACATCTTTCAAAAAATTCAATCTAAATTCATTATCAGTTTTCAACATGAATTGAATTGATCTCCAGATTGAGTATACAAACTCACATTTAAGAAACAAATGTGTATGATTTTCATCCATCTTTGAGCATAAACAACATGCCTTTTCTAAATGTACATATTTTTTTTTCCAGCACATCTTTTGTATTCAAGCCATTTCTTAGAGCCAACCAGACTAAGAATTTAACTTTCAAAGGGACAGGGAGAATCCATAAATCTGCACATTCATATCTTAAACCTTCATTAATGAGAAATTGATAATAAGATTTAACAGTAAAAGCATTTTTTGCGTCGCATTTTCATTTTCTTTTATCATTCTGTTGCTCAAAATTAACTGAATTGATAAGACTCATCATATTAAAGTATTGCAAAATCAAACTACCAGTCAACTGTCTTCTAAAATGCACCTCCCATCTCCACAAATTGTTTTCATTCTTCCTCAGACTACTAATAGATGCAAAAGGGAATGATGTGAGAGAGAGCAAAGATGAAAATATAGATGCAAGAGTAAATGAATCTAACCATTTATCAAGTCAGAATAAAGCATGATTTCTATTTCCCACCTCCACTTGAGTAGCGCATAAAAAAACTGTCAGTATTAGCTAAAATGTTTCTCTAAAAATGAGAAAGATGCATTCTTTCAGAATATAAATATTCTGTACAATATTTTCTTTCAAAATATTTATAAAAACTAATTTGTTTCCAAAGACCAGGTTTTCCATCAAACCATTTTCAAAGTCATTTTTCCAAAAGAGCTTTATTTATAATCTTCAAAATTTTAACTCCTAAACCACCACAGTTTTTTGGTTTGCAAACTTCTTCCCATTTAACCATATTTGAACACCCTTTATGATCCAAAGATCCAATTGTAAGCTGTCTAAAAATCACAATGGATAGCTGATCTCTATCAAGCTCCGACAATGGAAGTCATAATCAAACGACTTTCTAATCGCTGTATCTGCGACTCTGCGACCGCTACAAACACGGCCTCATTTCTGAGATGATTGATCTTGATGGTTGCGACAACAACATGACTAATATTATATTAGCAACTATTAGAGATGCTGATGAGCAGTGTAATGATTTCAGAAATAAAAGGTTGGACTTAGTTGGTGAGTTGCTTGGTAGAGAGCTGTGGGCAAATATTCATCTAAAAACACTATGGATGTTGATTCCGGTCAAGTTCCAACAACGAAAGCTACAATCAAATAGCTTTCGCGCCGACAATCGAAAGCTGCAAATAGAGGACTTTTCATATAGATCGAGAAGAGTTACAATTCAATGACACTTCCGACAACTGATGAAAACTCTATTCAGCAGTCTTCATATTCTGCAGTGAAAGTTATAATCTGACGACTTTCACACCCCACAACAGCTAAAGCTAGGATTACTGAATAACGGTCCTTGCAACGCTTTACAGAAGAGGTTACAGATCAACTAAGTTCTTCTAAAACGCGGAAGTCATCCCCGCGTTATAATTCTGGAAGTGCAGGCGACCCCCGTGTTTCCAAGCAGGCAACAAGTCAAAACGCGAGCGACCCTCGCGTTCATCAATGTTCAGCCAACACCCAACTTCGCGTCTCAATTCTAAGAAACGAAGTTGGGATTCTGAACGCCAGATTGGGCGTTTGACTCGTTCAAACACGAGTCGAACGGTTTTAGAACTGTTTTCCCCACGATCTGAGTAAATCACGCCCACTCAGGAGCGGATTTAGAGGGCAGTTACAACCTCTGATCCTCCTATAAAATCTCAACAAACTCAACTGAGTTAGAGGCTGGCTTTTTGGAACGGAAGAGTTAGCAGCAGGGGCGAATTATGGAGGATCTCAACCACTCGGGTTTGATGATTCAACAGCAGCGGCAGCAAAATCCTTAGAGATAGGATTTTTGAATCAAGTTCAGAAGATCAAATCTGAAAAGATTCTTCAACAGCTATGCAGATAAGAGGCGAAGACCCCTAGAGTTTCAGGTGGGAGATTTGGTTATGCTTAAGGTATCGTCTATGAAAGGCGTACAGAGATTCGAAAGGCGAGGGAAGCTTGCACCGAGATATATTGGGCCTTTTCAGATCCTAGAGCGCATTGGAGCTATGTCATACAGACTAGATCTTCCAGCATCGATGTCTAGTATACACAACGTGTTCCATATTTCTATGCTTAAGAAGCATTTGCATGATGAGGAGCAGCAGTCTCTTTTGTAATCAAGTTGTAATCGGAATCAAAGAAATACAAGTTAATTTTCTTTTGTTCTTTTCATTACAATTTTTCTAACATACAAAAGATGGCGACTCTGCTGGGGACGAGCTTTTCTGACGAAGAAGTGGTGGCGCAGTCCGACGTCCACCTCATGGGAACAACTGTTGAAACTCTCTTCGTAGAGTTTGAAACTTATGTGCATATCTTTGGTTATGTTTGCATTTGACGCTATAATGAGAATACTTTCGCTTAATTTTTTTAATCTTTTGGAACACATTGTATATGTATGGGGGGTTCCTTGTTTGGATTTTTCGCCCGATGTACTAGTTCCACTAGATTAGGATTTGAAGAAGTGGTGGCGCAGTCCGACGTCCACCTCATGGGAACAACTGTTGAAACTCTCGTCGTAGAGTTTGATCAAGCAAAATACGAGGAAGCCTTATCCTCTGGATCGCTTAGCCCCAAGGCTAAGCGTGATGTCCGCAAGATCTCCAAGGAGATTAACTCTGTTGTTGAAGCACCGAAGAAAGCCCTCTCCTTCGGCCAGGAGCTTAAACTAGCTTTGCTGGTTGAAGAGCCCACGTCCGCGTCAGCACGACGTGCTTCGGGCTATAAACGGCCTATAGAGGAGGCGAGCTCCGTAAACGTCAACGACGCTGCTGCTAAGGCTTTGAAACAAGCCAAGAAGAACGCCGCTCGCAGACGGAGAAGATCCATACGACGAGCACACTTACGTGAAAGCCGAATGTTGGCACAACGCGAGAATCGCGTTCCCGAAACTTCACCCGAGCCTAGCGTTCTCAAAATAGAACGCTCACTTCGTGGCAATGAGCCTGACTATGAGCCTCAGCTGATACAGCTAAAACGCGACCCTGAGTGGCGCGTTGTTCATTCAAAACGCAGCCCTCAGAGGGGAGCTGCCAAAACCAAACGCGACCCTCAGGTGCGTGTTCCAATAGAACATGACTCTCAGGAGTCTGTTTCACCAACTAAACGCGACCCTCAGGGGCGCGTTCAACCAAAACATGACCCTCAGAGGTCAGTTTCATCATTTAAACGTAGGCCTCGGCCTAATGTTTACAAATCTAAACGCGACCCTCGCGTTATTCTTCAAGAACGCGACCCTAGCATCATTCTTCAAGAACGCGATCTTCAAGAGGTCCGCCAGGTTCAGAAAAGTCAACATGGGTTCAAAATCCACGTTAGACAAGAACCAATTGTTCGCGGGAAAAATCGTAGCTTTCTTCATTGTTGATATCATTGCTATCTCAGTTAACAACTTTAACCTCAGACCTAAAACCCTAGCCCCCATCCCTCTTCTCTCAAAAACCCTAGCTGGACCTGGTGATTTGGAGAGTTTGGAGGAGTTCCAGGGGATTTTCGCAGATCTGAGCAAAGGAGGATCATCTCCTGAGCAGTTGTCAGCATCTAAGGCGAGTAACATCTCGCCCAATCCCTCACCCCTATTTTCTATAGTTTTATTTCGATTTTTCATGAGTTTT